ATATTAAAGCCACACAAACAATTAAATCAGGTTAGATACATGGTCGCTCAAAAAAAAAACAAAGGATGATTTAAACAATTATATATATGGTTTTTATATTAAAATTTTATTTATACATTTTTTATATTCCCGACTTTATTTATAATATATATTGTATCGACTTTTTTTTTTATTTGTTTTTTTTTTTTTATACAGTTTAAAGTAGTAAAAAGAGAAATGCACTTATTTATATTGGGAAAAATTAAATATCGACCTTTGTTCGTGAAAATTGTTATAAATCCTACCTCTCTTTCAGCTGTTTCTCACTACGAACTAAACGGTTTTTTAAAAAAAAAAACTTGTGTAGTTTTCCAATAAATATATTCTTTTCGTGAGAGAAAATTTACCAATTTTCTCTACACAAAACCTTTCTCATATTAATTGAACGAAAAAAAAAAGTATATAAAAAAAGAACAACGTTTATTCGTTTGCTCATTTGCTATTACTCTCATATCCGTAGGTAGTAGCATACTTTTATAAACTTGCAAAAAAATCCGTTTCGACAAAAAAAAAAAAGTTTCAAAATGCCTTCACCAACCTTTTCGCAATCGCAACCAAGTTCAAAAGCCAACACTAACAATGAATTAGTGTTCGAAGTGGTAGTTCCACCCTCGCCTACCGAGACGGCTACTCACCAACCGTTGAGGACCCGTACAAAACGTATCAATTGTAATCATACAAATGGAAGGATTTTTTGGATTCCAGAAGGTTATCATTGCGTCCTGGTTAGGACCGCCGATCTTCCTTTGCTTGTAGGAGAGAGTCCATTGCCCTCTCCAACATACGACTCCGACGAATCTACTTACTAAGCTCCTTCGTCTTCATTAAATACTTTTTCCCACACTGAAGAAGAATATGAAACGACGAAGAAAGCTTATGTTGTTATAGTAATATCTTATATCATATATATTCTTATCGGGCACTCACATATATATCCTTTACATCTTTAATACTCGCCACGCAGAAATTGGTTCAAAAAAAAAAAAAAAAGGACAAAAAAAAAACTTTTTATGAACATTCATTACCAAATTTTGTTCTTTCGACATTTTAAATGTGTCCGTAACGATCGAAAAAAACTCAATAATTTTCACTTTCTTTTTCTGTTGACCGGGGAGAACTTTGCAATTTGAAAAATTTTTCCCGCATAGATGTGTAGATAATTTTTTTCCCCTTATAAATATTTTTTTATGAGAAAAAAAAAAAAAAGTATAACCCTTTATCTTGTGCATAAACTCCCTTTCTTTACTCTCAAAATATTGACGTGACATTAAGATTTTTAAGTTGAGAACACTTATCTTTTTGCCGTCACATTCCCTTTGTAATATTTTCTCCCTTTTCGATTATATAGATTCCTCTTTATTAGTCACCCTTGCCGAAAAAAAAAAAAGAAATTAAAACATTGTTTCTATTACCCAATAACCTAAAAAAAAAAAGACATTTGTTCTCTCGAATAACAATCATCCCCAATCTAAGCGTTAAAAAATATACGGGCACAACCAAACTACCCATAA